AATAAAGGATTTGCCTGTAATAAACTTAATCAAGAAATATTTTGTTTTAATATAGGTTGTGGAGGTATCATTGGCAATAATTTAATTACCGGTAGCACTACTTTGGGTAATAAATGCCCCAAAGACCTTGTGACTATTTCTAATTATCTTGATACTATTACTCCACAAGGTCTAGCTAAAGGTTATGCCCACTGAGAATGTCCAAATTTTTCTCCCTGTGATGGACTAACTTGTAATTGAGATAATGGCGGTTGAACATGTCAACTTTTTAGTTTTTCTCAATTAGTCGTTAATAATTGTTACTTGCAATGCGTAGCCCCTTTCCCAAAAAGTCCGGTTTTAACTATTACTTCAATTTCAACTTCACTAGTTGAAATACCACCTACTACTACTCAACAAGTAACTTCTGCTACTGCTATCAATAATTCTCCTAATTCCATCACCCCTACTCCAACTCCTCTTTCCGATGATAACTCTCATCTTACCGAAAAAATTGCTATTCCTATTGGTGCTACCATCGGAGCTATTACAGTTGGTGGAATAACTTACTATTTAATCCAGAAAAGAAAAAATAAACCTCTCCTTGTCTCTGGTAACACGGAACAAGAAGTAACAAATAACCAAAATGAAAAAGATTTTAGTGAAGTAATCGCTTCAACTTCTCAAAATAAAGAATTACCTATTTTACCAGTGCAAGGTTTAAATTCTCAAACAAAAAACGATGAACTAACCCAATTAATTCAGCAAACTAAAGAAAAAATAGGTGTTAATTTAATACTTGCTTTAGAAACTTTACTTGATACCCAAATTGAAATTACTCAGGGTAATAATAATTTTGCTATTCGTCAACTCCAAAGAGAAGCTAAAGAAAAATTACAAAGCAAACTTAGTTTAGAGGAAATCAACAATCTTTGTCAATTATAAAGTGAAGTAATTCAGTCTCAACCAGAACAAAGAATGGAAGCCCAAATTCAAACTCCTCCCAAATAAAAAATAATATGACAAATTTACAAAAAAAAAAAAAAACAAGTAGTCTTGCCAATAATCAATCATGTTTAGTAAATGTTATCGTTGTCAAGAAATACTTTGGGGAGCCTCAGTTAAGGACATCAAAGGCAATGACTACTGCCTTGATTGTTCAAAATGTTCCCAATGCCACTTAAAACTTACCGGCAAGTATCATGTTGGTCTCAAAGGAGGTTTTTGGTGTAGTGATTGTGTCAAAAATCATCGCATTAAAGAAGTAGCAACCGCCCAACAAGAAATAAAGAAATTAGCCCAAGAAAGAGAAGAATTGCAAAAACAATTAGATGAGTTAAATAATCCCGCTTCTCATTGTGAAATTTGTTCTAAAAAAATAAAGGGTGGTGATACTTATTATGCTACTTCCCAAGAACCAGATAAAAAAACTTGCCCTACTTGTTATCAAGACCAAATAGATAAAAGGTTAGCCGAAACAAAAAGGAAGAAAAAAGAATTAGAGAGAGAAAATGAAGAAGTTAACGATATAATGGAGCAAGCCGAACAAGCCAACTTAGCAGGAAAAGTTTTTGTTCTTTCCGAGCGAGGAAAAAAGTTATTAGGATCCAAGGGAGTAAAAATTGTTGAAGATGGTAATAATTTAGTGAGAAAACAACAAA